TCATTCTGCTTTAAAAAGGATATTTATGTGTTTAGTTTATATGACCTTTTTCCAATTTTCTAAGATTTAAGTACCAAACATTTTAAATTTTGAAATAGTTTCAAATATTATAAAGGCAAGAAATTATACTTTTAACCTTTTAAATTTCTTGTATTTCTTTTGATTTAAAAATTTAAATCTTTTATTTATAACTATCTGCCTCAATTAAACAAAATACTTATAGTCAAAATAATTCTTTAAATAACTGTTTAATAATATTCCTTCTCCCCACTTTTGTTCCATTGATTCATTTTTTTCTTTTCTTTTTAATCTCCCTCCCTTTATTTTGAATTAGCTTCTTCATATCAGAGAAGACACTTGACCTTTGACTAAAAGAGAGATAAAGAAAGGAAAAAATAGGAGGAAAGATCAGACAGAGAAAAATTGTTTTCCCTCAGAACTATTTTTCTCTCTCCGCCAAATAGTATTTTGCTTGCTTTCTTATCATTCTGGCTCAGCTCTTTATCAAGCCTCTCTGGTAGTACAAATCACTTTTTTTTCATCTTATTATGTTCAGTAAGCATTTGTAGGAGAAAATATGAATGCAAATATATTTAGGAACAATGTAATTTCTGGTAAACTCAAACTCTGGTAAATTGGCTGGTAGGAACCGATCATCTGCCTGTAATTGCTAGCTGGTTGATATAGTGACAGCTCTTTTACCTCTGGAGTGTTTGCATTTTCTCAAGGAGCATTAGATTAGTTAAGCCTATTAATATGTTGAAACAGAAAGGAACAGAATGTAAAATACACACTCAAAACTCATTCCTTTCACAGGAATTATTTGGCAAGAAGCTTTATGTTCTTTGTGATTGCTCTCATAATTCTTACTTCAAAATTCAAACAATTCTATTTAGGACAAGTCTGTGAATACCTGGATTCATGCATGACATTTTTCATTCAATGAAACTCTTCCTCTCTGGTGTGTTTTGATAAAGGGTTTGCTATAGTGTCCAATTATTGGGTGATGAAAAAAATTATTAAAAATCTCAGATTAAAATTTATGTTTTTCTCTTCTCTTTCTCTCCTGAAGAAGGAATATATTTAACCTTTGGAAAAGAACAATTGAACAGTTATGAAACATTCATGGAAAACTGAGTATTGTAATTTTACTATATAAGTATGTAAGGAAAGTTTTTAATAATAATATTTAGGTGAAATTTCTGATGAATTAATTCTATCAAGTCTTAGGTTCTTTGGTTTTTCTGTTAAATTGATGCTCATTTTAAAATTGAATATACCAACTTTTTATCATAATGGTGGTAAGTAAATATCTTTAGGATGCCGTTTTCCCAGTGGACAAGCTAAAATTGTAACTGTTTCAAATAATGATTTTTACACTGCTGAGGAACTAATAAGTATATGTACTGAGAGAAATTTAAGTTGACAGTAAAAACATTGACAGTTAACCTATGGCCTAAAACCAAGAGCAGATGGAAATCTCTTGCATGATTTTCAATTCATTAAGCAATGTAACACTTTATTTTCTAGAAATTTTAGTTCAGGGAATGAGAGTGGTGACACGGTGAGATAAATGAACCCACTTCTTAATGTGCTGAAAGTATAGAAAACAAAATACTAGAAAGAATTTTTAAGATTTGGTAGTATATTTGATGTTTGAAATTTTTGATATCACAATTTAATTGGTACATTATTATCTCTGAAATTCAGTTAATTATAAGAAAATACTAACACAGTGTTCCAAATTTGAGGTGAGATAGATAGCTAAGCTTCGTATTTATTATTATCATTTAATAATATCATTTATTCATTTAAATATTAGCCTTCTTAATATTTCCTACTAATAAAATGACTTCTTTATTTTATATTTTCATGTGCTACTAATTTCTAGTTTTGGAGAATTTCTACTTTTTTAACAAATGGGCATATTTCTCAAGGGCATTTATTTTTTATTAGTTCATTTTAGTTATGCATAACAACGGGGGTCATTTTGACATAACTAAATAAGCATGGAATATAATTTCCCCTGTTTAGTTCCCTGTACTTCTCTTTTGCCTGTCCTCTTCCCTTCCCCATTTCTTTTCCTCTACTCATCTTCCTTCTATAATTTATACTTTTTAAAATTAGTGCACTATGGATATACATTAAAGGTGAAGTTCACTGTGGTATATTCATATTTGTACATAGGAAAGTTTGAGCAGACTCATACCACTGTTCCTTTCCCTGTCCCTCCTCCCATTCCTCATTCCCTTCCTCTAGTCTACTGACCTTTCTGCTAAATTCATGAGATCCCCTTTCCCCTTTTCTTCCTTTCTCTTATTTTGATCTAGCTTCTACATATGAGAGAAAACATTCATTTTCATAAAGGACTTTTAATATAAAGGATTTTTAGTAGGTTATTTCTATGTGTATTTATAATAACATATTTTGTGTTGTTTTGGTTTTGTCAATATTCACAGAAGTTCTGTTTAATTTATTGTAGCATGATAAAAAATATTAATTAATGGCCAGTAAATGTTTTATATGTTTGAGATCTCAATATTCATTTTAGGTCTGTTTATCCCTGATTGTAGTAGCATATTTTTCTGTAAAAATTTATAGTCTCATTAATGCCATTTTAAATTTACTAAGTTAGCCAAGTCACTTGGATTTGTAGTACTTCACACTTTAAATATGCATTGTTTAATCTACTTCATTGTGCTTGCTACTTATTGATCTATAGAATGTTACCTGATAAATTTTGCAGTTGACAATTCATTAAAAAATGATAGCAATGATATTGCTAGTTCAGCAGGATTGTGTATTTGTTAAGAATTTATTCATTCCTGATCTAAAAAACTAAGATTATCATCTCCAGAGTGACTTCAAGACAGACAAACTAATATCAAAATGAAATAAATAAATAAATTGTTGAGGACAATAATTTGGCCCCCATTCCGGTTTACCCTGCAAAGCACAATTTAGTTGTTGATTATTATCAGTCACTATAGTTTGATATACTGGTTAAGAACAACTTTGGTTTTTTTTTTTTTTAATTATTTCTTACATACATCACAATAGAGGAGTGCATTACATTCATAATTTTTTTTGCATTGCAATTCTTAATACACCTTTATACCACAATTTATCAAATCTCTCTTTGTATATAAGGTATGTTGACACCAAATTCACATCTTCATACATGAATTTTGTATAATGATGACCAACTTCTTGAACTATCCTTGCTATTCCCATCCTCCCTCCTACCCCTATTCCCTATCTAGAGGTAATCTTCCTCCCTTGCTCTCCATCCCAACCCCATTTTGAATCACCCCCCTTATATCAGAGAAGACATTTGACATATTTTTTGGGGGGGATTGGCTAACTTCACTTAGCATAATCTTCTCTAATGCCATCCATTTCCCTGCAAATGCCATGATCTTATTGTTTTTTATTGCTGAGTAATATTCCATTGTGTATAAATGTCACATTTTTTTATCCATTCATCTACTGAAGGACATCTAGGTTGGCTCCACAGTTTAGCTATTGTAAATTGTGCTGCTATAAACATTGATGTGGCTGTGTCCCTGTAGTATGCTGTTTTTAGGTCCTTTGGGTATAGTCCGAAAAGAGGAATAATAGCTGGGTCTAATGGTGGTTCCATTCCCAGTTTTCCAAGGAATCTCCATACTGCTTTCCAAATTGGCTGTACCAATTTGCATTCCTACCAGCATCCTCGCCAGCGCTTGTTGTTGTTTGTCTTCATAATGGCTGCTACTCTTACTGGAGACTCTGCATCTAATAGAAGAAAAAGTAGGCCCTAATCTCCATCACGTGGGGCTAGGCCCCAGCTTCCTTAATATGATGCCTGTAGTACAAGAATTAAAACCAAGAATCAACAAATGGGATGGATTCAAACTAAAAAGTTGTTTCTCAGCATAAGACATAATATGTGAGGTGAATAGGGAGCCTACATCCTGGGAACAAATTTTTACCCCTCACACATCAGATAGAGCTCTAATCTCTAGGGTATATAAAGAACTCAAAAAGATAAGCACCCCCCCCAAAAAAAACCAAATAATCCAATCAATAAATGGGCCAAGGACCTGAACAGACACTTCTCAGAAGAGGATATACAATCAATCAACAAACATAGGTAAGAATGCTCATCATCTCTAGCAATCAGAGAAATGCAAATTAAAACTACTCTAAGATACAACTTTGGTTTTTATTGGTTATCTCATGCATTTTTTGAACCATCTGTTGATGGACTATTTCCTAATCCATTTCCACAGTAGATACTAAATTCTGATTTTTTTTGTTCTGCCACTCTGCTTTTAGAGGATCCAAACAACTCACTATGCAAAAAGTAAATAGATTTATAATTCCAGCTTCATGCTAAATGGTCTGCTTTTATGAAAGTTTACATAAAAACCCTGAGCCTACTTATTGCACCAAAAGTCCTTATCTCCAGAGACCCACTGTTGGGGTTGCTATGTGTATTTGTTACCCTTCACCAAATGTGTGTTTTTAGTGTAAGTAGTTTAATACCAGTTGCTATTAAAGGGCAGTATTTGAAAACTGAGTTTCAATGGTAGTTTCTCCTAAATTGGAATAGGCTTAGTACTGATGAGAATTCTTTTAATCTCCTTTTCAGGCTGCTTTTACTCCTGGACCTTTTTCAAATAAAAATGCCTATCAATATATGTTACTTTCAAAAAATTTTATTTTTATTTTATATTACAAATTGTATGTGTGTGTGTAATTTGTACATTTTACATTACGCTTACTCACCTTCAGAACTTTAAATAACTGCTTAAAATTATAGCTTAAGGAAAAATGTTCTTGAATTTACTGTTGTGTATAGTAAATTAAATGTTATTTTGGGGTATTTTAAACACATTTTATTATATATGAGTAAAAGTGGCCACAAAAATATTTATTTTTGAATGATACAAATGAAACTTTAATAATGTATTTGACTTTTCCACTATTTTTGCTTATCTTTTCTTTTGTTATAGATGCTTGTTACCACACCAGAAAAATGGGATGTAGTGACAAGAAAGAGTGTTGGGGATGTTGCTCTTTCCCAAATTGTAAAACTCCTTATTCTTGATGAAGTTCATTTGCTGCATGAAGATAGAGGACCAGTATTAGAAAGCATAGTTGCACGTACTTTACGGCAGGTAAGAGAAAGTTACCTCTTTTTTTTGTAAGTTTATTTTGAGAGAACCAGTAAGTTTTTAATCCTAAAATATAGAATTCAAAGGAAAACTTAATATGCATTATTCTCGGGGATAAAGGTAATTTTAGAATGAAGAAACACTTAACTGTTTCATTTTCACATTAACTCTTCAGTTTGTTCCAAATCTCATTTCATTGATGTCTCTTTAACCAAAATAAGTATAGGAAAACTTCTATTCTAAACCTGTGTTGTAAAGTTGATCCAGTATTCACTAGTCAGAATTAAAATATTTTACAACATAAGGAATTATGTTGTAAAATATAGTTCTTCTCTGCATTGTACCCTCCAAAAATCTGAATGTAATTTATATTTTTTCTCATATATTGGATAAAATGAGATTTGATTGCCACATAGCCATAATTTTAACTAATATTTTTTTAAAGGGGAATGTTTATGTTGTCTCTAGGTTTGGGCCTTTTTGGTAATTTATAAAATAGTAGAAACAAATAATTGGTAAATTCACCCATGCCAGGAGTATCAGGATATTCTTTGTTGGCTATTTTTTTTTTAAAATAAGTGAAAAGATATGAACTCTTAGAATAGTCATAGATATTAAAGTGAAGTTTTCTGGTAGATTGTACATGTATGGAAAATAGATGAACACAAGTTTTTCTAACTCATTAAGAACTCCGTTTCCTTGACTCTCCATTTGTTATTGTCTTTTATTCATATTCTCTTGCCTTAGTTTTCTTCCTGAAATAGCCAAGACCTGATGATCAATAAGTCTGTTGTCAAAAACCTTAAGTTACTTACCTCTGAGTACCTGGCAAAATTACAACAGCAAATCAGCTGAATTATGTCTATTTCTAGCCAGACTGCTCATCATTAGAGGAGAAGATCACACAGTGGTATAGACTAGTGTAAGTATATATTCATAGAATATGATATATACTACACATTCATGGACTCTGAATTTACCTGAATTGCTGGGATTACCCTGTAACATCTAAGCAGCTTTTCTTCTATTTCCCTAATGTGACCATTACTAAGCTTCCTTAGTCTCCTTTATCACTCTCTCCCACTTTGTCATGCCTCATTCTTACATGAGAGCACTTTTTACTGAAAGGAAATAAAGACCTTCATGCTTGAACTCCTCAAATTCTGTCCTTTCCCCTAACCAGAAAAGAATCCTGCTTCTACTCCTGCCATCATAAGGATTCCATCATTATATTCTTAAACTTTTCTCAGAGGTCTCTTTTCCCCTTGCCTCAGACCCCATTCATTTGACTCTGTAAGTTACTCCTTTTCTTTCTCCTATATCTTCAGTTTCTGTCTCTTAGTGGCCACTGTCTACTTAGCGTAATAGAATTAAAAAGTCTTTTGATCTTTACCAGAAAACTTCCCTCAAATTTATCCTTCTCCAATAATTTTGCTCCATAAATTTCCTTACCACCTAGCTTCTTGAAATATTAATGTATCTTCACTGTTTTCCTTTTGATTTTTCAACCTCTGCAGTCTGGTCACTGATTGAACTAAATCAACATTAATAAAATATTTTTACCAGTATCACCAGTTACCAAAGGATAGTTTTCAAACCCAGTCTTTTTTAACTTGTGATATTAGTAATTTTGATATTGGATACTACTCATCATTCCTCAGTCTTGAAACTTGTTTCCTTTGGATCCATGATGATACCCTGTCCTAATTTTTTACATGACTTTTTCCCCATCTATCTGCTCTTTCTCAGGCTCCTTTACTTCTCTCCTGTCTTCATCATTAATGTTTATATTCTCTAAGATTCTGTTACCTGACATTTTTTTTCATTCTAAATATTTATCCAAGAAAACAATACTTTTGTGCCTACCTTACCTAAATCTTTGTGTGTCATTACAGATGGTGTGTGTGTGTGTGTGTGTGTGTGTGTGTGGGTGGGTGGGTGTGGGTGTATACAGGTTGAGTATCCCTCATCTAAAATATTTGAGACCAGAAGTGCCTCATATTTTAGATATGTTTGGTAGGGAAGAAGATTTTGGAATATTTGCATGCCAATAATGAAATTCTTTGGAATGAGACCAAAACCTAAACACAAAATTCACTTATGTTTCCTATACATCTTAGACACATAGCTTGAAGGTAATTTTATATACCATAGTTTCCATGTGCCTACATTTTTACTATGACCCGACATAAAATTTCAGGTGTGGACTCTTCCATTTGTGGCAGCATGTTGGTACTCAAAAAGTTTCAAATTTGGGTGCATTTTGAATTTCAGATTTTTAAATTAGGGATGCTCAACCTGTGTGTGTTTATATGTAAATATTGTATTTAAAAAGTTTTTTTCTGCTGATTTCTACCTACATTCAAATTCAGCTTTATGTTTCTGCTTTAGTTTCCCGTAAATATCTTTGCTAATCATGTTAGAACTCTGTTATCTTTTCTATATCAGTATAAATAAGATTTCATTCCACTTGTTTCTAAGCCAAAACCCTGGAAGATACAGCTAGATTTTCCTACTTCCTTAACATTCCATCTGAATATCTAGTTTAATAACAGTTATTTTATATTTCATATCCTGAAGATCTCTGATCCATATCCAGGCATAGGAATTTAATATACAAAACTTTAGGAAATGATATTTTGTGCCAACCAAGTTTTAAATGTTCCTATGTATTCCTTCTAGTAAGTGGAGTATAAAATTCTAGGCATTAATGATTTAATTGAATCAAACAAACTCTCGGTGCATTGCAGCAAATATAGAAGAGGTGTTTTTTTTTTGGTAACTTTGGAGTGGATATCTAAGCAACATCATAAACTCGAAATGTTATAAAGGAAAACTGTGCCACATTTCATTGTGTAAATTTTAAAATATTCTGCCCAGTCATGATAGTAAGGATATCACCCCAAAAGTTAAAATTGAAGTGACTGCATATCAGAAATTATTTGTTACACATTGTTCAATAGAAATAAGCATACTGAGAAAGATTGAAAAGATACTTGAAAGAAATCCAAACCAATATTTCTATTAGATTAGCAAAACTGAAAATGAAATGCAATTCCATTCACTAAGATCAACCCTATGTTTTTACTTCTAGGAATCTAAACTATGGAAATAATAACACAAACTCACAAAGATGTATTAGTACTAGTATTCACTGAAGCTCTCCTCCCGCTCTTTTTTTTTTTTTTTTTTTTGAATGCTGGGGATTGAACCCAGTGCTTAACACATGCCAGACAAGGCTATACACTGAAATACACCCCCAGCCCAAAGTTCTCTTTTTACATCAAAACATTTTGAAAACAATCCAAATATTCAATACCAGAAATGGTTTAATATATTTCAGTATGTTCATACAAATGAAATTCTACCTTTAAAAAGTATAAGGTAGGGCCATATGACCTGGGCTTAAATAGTCTGTGTTATTATTCATTGAGCAAACAAGCTGTTCTATTTATTTGTGTATCATAAAAAGTATGCTATATTTGTACTTTTGTTCATTATTTTACCCAGTGAATACTTACTAAGCACTTACATTTTGCCAGCTCATAGTTTTAGGTGCTTTAGATATAATGGTAAACAAAACAGTTTTTGTTTTTATTTACATTTTTAAATGTTTTTGTTAGTCCATTATAATTATACATGATAGTGGGGATCTTTTTGACATCATACATGCATGGAATTAATTTGCTCCATATCAGTCTCTCATACTTTCTCCTTCCCTTTCTTTTCTTGCTCTCCCTGTTCCCCTTCTTGTCTACTGGTTATTCTTCTATTTATTTATAGTTTTTTTAATTGGTACTTTATAGATATACAGTGAAGGTGGAATTCATTGTGGTGTATATGTGCATAACATAATTTGGTCACTTTCATTCCAGAGTTCTTAACTTTTTCTATACCTTCTCTCTCTCTATCTTCTTTCTTTGTTCCACTGATCTTTTCTGGTTTCATGTGATCACTGCCCACCCCCCATTTTGGTCTAGCTTCTGTATATGAGAGAAAATATTCAACCCCTGACTGAGTCTGGCTTATCACTTAGCATAACGTTTTCTATGTCCATTCATTTACCAACAAATTCCATAATTTCATTCTTTTTTATGGCTAGTTAAATCTTCATTGTGTATGTATACCACATTTTCCTCATCCAGTCATCAATTGAAAGACATGTGGGCTGATTTCATAATTTGACACTGTGAATCGTGCTGCATTAAACATTGAGGTGCTATATTGCTATATATAGTATGTTGATTTTTAGTTCTTTTCGATATACACCTTGGAGTAGGGTAGTTGAGTCATAAAGATGGTTCCATTTCTAGTTTTTTGAGGAATATCTACACTGGTTGTACTAATCTGCAGTCTCACCAACAATTCATGAGTATACATTTTGTTCCCCATCCCCAGCATCTATTATTATTTGTGTTCTTGGTAATTGCATTCTAACTAGAGTGAGATGAAATCAGTGCAGTTTTGATTTGCATATCCCTGATTGCTTCTTATGTTGAACACTTTTTTCATGTATTCATTGTCTTTGTGTTTTTTCTTTTGAGAAATGTGTGTTTAGTTCCTTTTTTCATTTATTATTTGAGCTTTTTTGGTGTTAAGTTTTTTATAGATATATACTTTATACATTCTAGATAATAATCGTTTGTCAGAATAGTAGCTACCAAATATTTTTCTCCCATTCCATAGACTTTTTGTTTGTTTTTGTTTTCTTTGCTTTGCAGACGTTTTTTTATTTGATGTCCTGCCATTAATTAACTCTTGTCATTATTTCCCTAACTTTAGATGTTCTATTGACAAAGTCATTGCCTGTACCTCTTTGTTGGAATGTTGACCCATGGTTTCTTCCAGGAGTTGCATACTTTCTGATCTAATTCCTATGTGTTTGATCCTCATGGAATTGACTTTTGCATAGAGTGAAAGATAGAGATCTAGTTTCATTCTTGTTTCATATGAATATCCCCAATTGTACCAGCACCATTTGTTAAAAGGCTGTTTTCTCTATCATATAGTTTGGCACCTTTGTCAAGGATCAGATGACTGTATATGTGCGGATTTATTTCCATGTCTTTTCTATGCCAGTGGTCTTCTTGTGTATTTTGATATCAGTACAATACTGTTTTTCTTACCATAACTCAGTAGTACAGTGTTAAATCAGGTATTATGATTCCTGTCATTGTTTTTCTTGCTCGGTGTTGCATTGGCTATTCTTCCAAATACATTTTAGAACTGTTTTCTCTAGTTCTGTGAGAAATGTCATCAGTACTTTGGTAGGGATTACTTTGAATCTGTAACTTTTGGTAATAGGATCATTTTGACAATATTGTTTGCCTGTCTGAGAATATGTGAGGTCTTTCCATTTTCTAAGGTCTTCTTTAATTTCTTTCTTCAGTGTTATAAGTTTTTATTGTAGAGGTCTTTCACCTCCTTGATTAGATTTCTTCCCAAAGTTTTTGTTTTTTTATTTTTAGTTTTTTTTCGTAAATTATATGATTTTCATAATTTTTTCTCAGCAGACTTATTATTGTAATAAAGGCAAGCTATTGATTTATGAGTGTTGATGTTTTATCCTGCTGTTGTGCTAAGTTTGTTCATAAGCTCCAGCAGTCTTCTGGTTTTTGATCTTCTAAATATAGTATGTCATCAGAAAATATAATTTAAATTACTTTTAGGCTGGTGTAGAATAAGATGTGTATGTATACATGAAAGAATATGCAGCAAGCTGGAAAAATGATTTCTTAAAAGTAAAGGGACAGGGGGCTAGGATTGTGGCTCAGAGGTAGAGCGCTCGCCTACTGTGCATGAGACACTGGGTTCCATCTTCAGCACTACATACAGATAAAATAAAGATATTGTGTCCACCTATAACTAAAAAATAAATATTTTTTAAAAAAGTAAAAGGACAGGGTTGGGGTTGTAGCTCAGCAGTAGAGCACTCTCCTAGCACATGTGAGGCACTGGGTATGATCCTCAGCACCACATTTAAATAAATAAAATAAAGGTATTGTATCCACCTACAACTAAAAAAATTTTTTTTTAAAAAGTAAAGGGACAGTATTCTTGGGATATATGATCACTTTTATCATATAAATGAAAAATATGTATATATGCACATAAATACAGAGGGTTGAAATGTTCAAAGAATATTTATAAAAATTAAATATTTTAGCTAATATCAGTTTAATAATAATTTCACAGGTATAACTAGTTGTAAAATATAGTTGAAGCATTGAGAAGTATCTCCAAGTTCTTTTTTACTACAGTGCATATGTTCTGGTACAGATTTTATGTATAAGACCTCAAAAAGAAGTATTCAGTACACTTTTTACACAAAAGAGAGTTATTTTGATCATGAAACATTTTTATTTTATACCTAAATACTTAAATAGCTTAGTTAAAATTGTTTAGGAAACCATGCTGTATGAATTCATACATTCTACATTTACCTGCAATGAACTTGTTGGACCATGTCCATCCAGTTAAAAGCATCCCACAGATAAAGAATTTCCTGCAAATATAAAACATTAGAGGCCAAGTAAATAGCATTAGTACATTTGCCAGAAGTTCTGTCATTCACATCTTTTTATAAGGGGATTTATTTAACTAGGACAGCTTTGTTTTCTTTACCCCTCTGTCCCCATAGAGAGAGAAAGTAGAATGTAGTCTTGCTGCTAATTCTTTCTGTATGTATGTACACACATACATACACACACCCATATGCATGTAACATGTATATTTTTAAAGCAATCATATCTTCATAAAAGTTTTTGCAAATATACATGTAGAATATAATTTTATATATGGTTTATAAATATGATAAATGGTATAAAATGGGATATTTTATGTATCATTTAATTACATAAGTATATAATTAATCTTAAGATATAATGTTATGGACATATAGTTTATAATTAAGTAATATATTAATTCATACCTCACATTATCATCTCCATAATCATTTTCCATTTATGTTTCCTTATAATCATTTGCTAAATAATTGTTTATTATCTTAAGAATATTTTCAAATTCCTTAGCTGGATAGTAAAGATTATTAAATCCTGGTCTTTCTTTCTGATTTTAACTGCTATATATCTGTTGAAAAGTAGACAAATACATGTCGACTACTGTGTTTATGATTCTCATATTTCCAATATATTAATGCAGTGCTCATGAGTGTTTAATAGAAGCAAAGTTCTTCTTTTTTGTTTGTTGTGATTACCATATGTGCCCCGTAGATGGCAGTGTTTTACATCATTCTATATTTGTTACTAATGTAGACCTGTGACAGGAAGCTGTTCCAGCTGTCCATGATCTGAAATTACGTGCTAGAGACGAGACTAAATACCCAACACACTTGAAATGATGGGGAGAAATTTAGAAAAGATGGAAATACAAGAACTCTTAAATATGTTGTATTCAACAACATTGATCTGGTATTAGTTGTCTCAGTTACTTTGATTTCACTGAGTAGGGAGACTGTCCAAATTTAGATTTTTTGTGTGAGGGGAAACATGAAAGTTTAGTGCCTCATTTTTGTGTTAAATGATAAAAATAAATCTTTAAAGCACTATTTTTATATCATTTTGAACAATGGATTCTTTTTAGGGAAATATCTGTGGCATAAAAAGCTTTGGGATTTGGTTTAGGACATAAAATTCCAAATTTTTCTTATTTCAAGTAAAGTATTTCTCAAAGGACTTCATTATGTTAAAATTATGAGTTATACTTTTAGATTAAAAACATGGTTGTTCTATAATGGATTTTTAGCAGAAAAATGTCTCAGGTGATTGCTAGGGGACCAGGTATTTAACATCAAATGGGCTTAAAATTTTGTTCAGTAAATTTTGTATTTTAAATAATAATTTTAAAAAGAAATATAACTTCTATTTCTTTCCAGATTACTGTGGACACTATATATAACTATAGAGTAATTAAAATCATTCTAATTACTTTGTATGATGAAGGAGTTTTCTTAAATAACAGGTGTGATAATATAATATTCCATTATTTGGAGTTCTTTGCTTTTGGTTCAGTTTTTGCTGATACCTGTATGATTTCTTTAGTGAAAACAAATATATGGTAATATGTTCTATATGTGTGTATATTTTGATTTCCACCCAATTCTGTCAGTTTTTTATTCTTCCTATTTATACTTCTCTATATATTCTCTACATGTGTCTTATTCAGTTTTGCATCCTTAGTTCCTACAGATTAAGTGGTACTCCAGTGTTGATGGAGGAGTAATTCTGGGAGTATTACTGTTATTCATACTGGGCTAATTTGCTTATTGAGTGTAACAAATAGATTCAGCTAATTTGTCAACAACTTCCTCAAAAAAATGGCTGTGAAATTGATAGCAGCATCATGGTATCATAATGGTGTGTTTTATTTACCAAATGAATGGAAGCTTTATGGTTTTGGTTTTGATTTTTGTGTTTGGTACCATTGATTAAATCCAAAGGCACTTTACCACTGAGCCACATCCCCAAGCCCTTTTAAATTTTTTTTTTTTTTAATTGTGAGACAGGGTTTCCCTAAGTTGCTTAGGGCCTTGCTGAGTTGCTGAGGCTGATCTTTGAACTTGGAGTACTCATGCCTGAGTCTCCCGAGCCTCTGGGATTATAGGTGTGTGCCACTGTGGTGCTGATTGGAAGTTTTGACCATCCATCAATATTATCTTTGTGGGTATATTACATTGTTATCAGAGAATTTACCCTATATGTTTTTTAGTTTGAGGAAGTTAATGAGTTTTTGTTGACCTAATAATATGTTCCATTGTTATAAATTTTTATTGCTATTTAATATAAATTCCTATGCATATTTTTAATAGTAGGGGGTTCTATTATGTATCTGTTGGATCAAGGTTGTGAATTGTGAGCTTTAGAGTTTTGCTTGGTAAGACCTTCAGTTGATATCTGAACTGATTTCCTTCTACAATTTTTAGAAGGTCCTATTAATAGGACACATAATACTGATTTTAGTTAAATTAATGTAAACAACCCATACTTATTTAAAGTAACTTCCAATTAACATAACCCATGTAGGTTGAATCCACACAGAGTATGATAAGGATACTTGGACTGTCTGCAACCTTACCCAACTACCTTGATGTTGCTACATTTTTACATGTTAATCCCTACATTGGACTTTTCTACTTTGATGGCCGTTTTCGTCCAGTACCTCTTGGACAGACGTTTTTGGGGATTAAAAGTGCAAATAAGGTAAAATATTCATTTTAATAATTATATTTTTCTAAAAAATATTTATGTTGACTTACTGTTGAATACTTGTCTGGAAATTAAGACTGCAAAAGACTATTTTAGTAGCATTCCTAATGTGCTATCTAAGACAAAATCAAATATACCTCCTCAATGACTGGTAGTTGAATACATCTTACAGAAAGGTGCTTTTAGTAGTTTGTATTGCTATTTTCAATGTATATTTTGTGTTCTTAGTAAAATATCAGAAAGTTCTTTTGACTGAAACCCATTGTAAAATAATAAGAGCTCTACTAAACTAGTAATAAATATTTTAATATAATGTTAACAAAATAATAAGATATTTTATAACTGAAATTATATAATTGAAAAATAATTTTGTGGTAGCAACCATAAGGAGAGATATTCTGTTTAATTTAAAATGTTTTATAATTATCATATATATATATATATATAATGTCATTTCTAAAATTCTATATAGTGCTTCAAAACTCTGCTTATCTAATTCCTTAAGTAGTACTATTAAAGTAGTACTATTTGCATTATTAGAGTGCTTATTACAGACTAATTTGATAATATGAAGGAAAACTTTGTTTTATATTTTATACAAAGCTGTGTTTAACATTTATTTTTTATTATTCTCTTCAACAACCCATATTTTTCTTTAGAAGAAATAACTGTAGGACGTATGATAAAACTTACAGCCTTTTGACCTCCTTAGTTAAGAGAACAAGATGCAGTCATATGCTATCATGTCAAACTTCTTCTTTATTGTGTTAATTTACTTCTTTCTAAGAAAATATTTTATTTGTAAAATAGAGCCTTATACTATTGTAAGTTAAATATTCGCTAATAGATTTTAGAAATGACTGTTACAATAGATATCTCTTGCATAAATGTCAAGAGATCTTTCAAATTTTAGAGCTCTTTTTCAGACTTATTCATAATAAATATCACGATATGGTGATATTATATGAATATTTCAATATTTGTTGATTATTTTAAGTGCTCTCTAGTATTACTTGATGCTTGTTTTTCAGTCATGTTTAACATATATTTGATTATTTAGTTCATTTTAATGTATCAGAGTGATAAATGTAGAACTGCTTCTTTATGGCTTTAGATTATATTTTGCTTTATAATTTAAATGTTAGCAGATGGTTATCATAGAGATATTAGGAAAAGAAAATTGTTACAGATTTCTGTCATTCATCTTAAAACTTATTTTCTTCCACTGCATCATACAAATTGATAAATTCTTTAAAACTAATTAAAATTTTTATCACAATATGTTAGCATCATACTCATGAAAGGAATGGTGTCAGAAGATGAGCTATCAGTTATTTTGAAAATTTAAAAATTTAGAAAGTTTTAAAACTTATATATTTAAATAGTTTAAATAGTTAATTATGCTTTTTTAAATAAATGTAGACTTTTGTCTTATTAAATTTATTAGTATTATTAGAATTTATTAGTATTAGTATTCATTAGTAGAAATATGCAATGGGTAACCATTAAGTCTTCCCCCAAGGTGTTTTCAATATGTTTTATAACCAGTTGTTATTTTGTCATTTATTATAAGAAGACATCCTTGTAGACTTCTCAGTTTCATTCAAAAATTCATAATATGATCCCATTGTTATGAAAGAATATGTCAAAGTGCTATAAGTAATGTTCATAATTTAGACTAATGGCTTTGTACAGAATTCAACCCAAAGTGTACTGAAAAAGTTATTGGGATTTATTTGGTGGTAATAGGGTTGTTTTTTTAAGTCATTGGTGGAAATAAATTATTCTATGATCACCCTAACCTATTTAGCCACTATCAGTTAAAATAGTTCTAGATTTTAAAAATGTTTATTTTACTGAAATAAAATATCCAAATTATATTAATTTCACACATACATGACCCTTTTCCTTATCTTCTTACCTTTTTAGTTAGACACTTCCTCGTCATTAATAGGGAAAAGGAAACCCTTTTTTATTCAGTTTGTATATTAGGTTTGTAATTAATCTGAAAACTGTTTCTGTAGAAAAATAGTTCTCCTGTTTATACACATTACAGAAACTGTCTGTTTCCTAGGATCCATCTCAATATGGCATTTGCCATCCCACCTGAAGTGTTCTCACAACTTTGAGAATTAAAAAGGAAAAATGTATATATAGATTATGGAATGAAATAAAAGAAAAGCATCCTTTTCTAGGGAAAGTAGAGAGAATTTTTAAAGTTATTCTAAAATACCTATAACTAGTATATTATTCTTAAAGTAGTGTCTTTTAAAAACTTGGCATTCTTATCTATGAGTAAGAGGAAGGGGCAGTCTGAATCTTTGAAGTATTTCATCAGTAGTTTTAATTGCATTGTATTTGTTTCTTATGGGAAGTTTTATGTATTTGTTGCTTCTGTGTATACTAGTTTAAGAGGTAAAAAAAAAGGATGCATTATAATTGACAAAGTTTTATTTCTAGGTAGAAAGTTTATAACATTTCATTTGATATTTTTTATGTTTTATAAACTTTAAGATGCAGCAGTTGAATAACATGGATGAAGTATGCTATGAAAGTGTTTTGAAGCAAGTAAAAGCTGGACACCAGGTACACTTAATTTATTTTATCATTTTTTAAAGACTACTTATTGATAAAAATTTCTAATTTTTAGATTATTCATGAAAAACTTTTCTTTGAATTATGGGACAGTGACTCAAAGGTTTTATTTCTTAAAAATTGCTGTACTCAATAAGTAATCATATCCCACAAAAATAATCATAGATAATATTGACATCCCACTATTAATAATAGGTCATGCATTTTGTTTGACATTTTTAATACAAAAATTAAAGTTTAAAAAAGCACCAATCTGTATTAGCTCAAATTTTTAATCCATATCTTCTTACACAATACAGAAATTTTTAGTGTTATATTATTATTAGTATTTTCATGAATTTGTGTTAATTGAAACACTCACACATACACACACACACACACATATATAAAATAACATTTTGTATTGTTTTATGGTGTTCATGAATTAAGCAGTTTGGGGATAGGTGTGTAACTCAGTGATAGAGTGCTTGCTTGCCTAGTATGCACAAAGCCCCTATTTAGATCTCCACCACTGCAAAGTAAAAGAAAAGAGAATAGCAATTTCATTTTAAATCTCCTTTTTATCTAAACTTTTTCAATTAAGATTTTCAGTTAAAAGAAGAATGATAATAATTGCTTATATAAAAATTAATCATTGTTCAATTGTTTATGTTTCTTTGGGTAGATTTGTTAAAGGATTTATTTATTTATATGTACAGTGTTAACCTTCAAGACATGATATGTTTTTCTGGCCTTTTGGTTTTTAAATTCCTTTTAAGTGCAGGAGAACCTTTTGTCCCCCAGATTAAATCTTATTTGCAGCACCAATATATATATATAACATTGTGACTTCACAGCATGGGACACCACTCAGTAAACACCCTGGAAAGAATTGTTATTTAAATAAATTTATTATACTACTACAGAATTTTAAATATGAATTTATAATTAAAAATATGTCTTTGGTAAATAAAATGCAGCTTTATCCCTAAATGTTGGAAAAGGAAGTAGTTCCAATTGAAGAAAATTTTAAATAAATGTATAATTTAAGGGATCCGAGGAAAACTGTCTCTTCTTTCATTTCTGGCATAGTTCCATCCCTATAAAAGGGACTATGATGTCTCCTAAGAAATCTTGATGTATAAAACAGAGATGCTGGACAGAGATATTTGGTCAGTAGAGATGTGGTCTTCCTGCCATTTTTCCCCAATTTTAGTATAGATTCATTCATTGCTTTGTTTTTTAGAATGAAAGCTGACTAAGGGCGGGCTCTTATAGTAAGTTAGTTTTGATTTATTGTTCTAAATCTGGTGCCTCCTTACAAAGATAGACTTCAATGAGATATACAAAGGAAATCTTCAGTGACTAGGGACTGGTTTCCTAGAACATGAGGAGCCTATCAATTCAATGTGGCTGAGGCAGAAGTTAGCAATAAGGATTACCTCTCCAAGTCCTGTCATGTCATGATATCCATGAGTGCCAATTCTTTAAGAAGTGTCAACACTAAGCATTCTTCTCTTGTACTCACATCTGGCTAAAACTGCACTGTGGGTAATTGTATAATGTTTAATTATTGTTTGAGAGCCTGTGGACAGACTTTGATATTTTAGATTGTATCAGATCTGTGCTGCTCCAAACAAAAATTAGAGCAGATAACTATGACCCTTCCTTAGGCTGTATACAATAAGGAATGAGGTTTTGGCTGTAGTTTCAATTCCTGTTCTTGAGTGATTTTCGATGATGTTTGTTTTCCATAATAAGAGGATTTACTTAAGCTTCGTAGAAATACCTACATATCTCCTCATTATTTTAATTATAAAAATAAAATGACATTTTAAAAATAGTTTGTTATTTTATCATTATTAATGAAATTTTATACATTTCTCTCGTCTTTTATCCACTCACATATGCAGCTTTTCATTTTGCTCATCCAAGCACTTTTATTATTATTTATAATCCATTGTAAACTAGAATTATACTGAGTATACAGTTTTATATTCACTCTTTTTCTTAATGACTAATAAACATAATGTACCTACATACTCTTCACTATTTTATTATCTACAGGTAAGTAAAAGAATCTATTTTTCAGGTTCTAATTTGCAGATACTATATAAGTCTATTTGGACTTTTAATTTTCCCAGTCCTCTGACATACACATGATTATTTCCTTTTTTTTTTTTAAGTGATGAATATATAACATGTTAGGCAGCTTCTCAAGGTCATACTACTAGTTAAGGCTGGCACCAGGATTTCAGTACAGGTCCTTTGTTAATAGAACTTTACATTGCTCCTTTGCCATTTAGCTGACATTGGCTGTTCCTTTATTATTGGTTATTCCCCCATTATTGAGTACTTTAAATGATTGCAATTATCTATTGTTAATGACAGTGCTGCTGTAATGATTATCTTTCTACCCACTGTTATTTTTTCTGTGTAAAAACTTATTTATGCTGCCCAAAGTGGCAAATACTTGTAATCTCAGCTACTCAGGAGGCTGAGATAAGAGGATCATAAGTTCTAGTCCATCCTGGGCAACTTTGTAAGATCCCATCTCAAAATTAAAAATAAATGGGGGGTCAGGGATGTGGCTTAGAGGTAGAGAACTCCTAAGTCCAACCTCCAGTACTTCAAAGAAAAAAAATGAATTTACATATGACAAGTTCCCAAAGGACTTTATGACTCAAATGCTACCTTTTTATGATTTGCCACATTATTCTAGAAATGTACTTCAAATGAATTACAACATTTCCTTGTCACCACAGACCTACATTAGATTATATAAATGTCTGCTATATTTCTTAGGAGCAATCTTATAAATGTAGTGTGATGTAAAGTTCTGTCCTAATATGCTTTTGCCATTTTGAATTTATTTTTTTCAATCCTAAGGCATTTTCAGTCAGAGTAGTGTCATACTAGTGAGTTCTGTTTTTATCAATTATTATCTCTAAATCACAATTATAATAATCCAGATATGCATACTTTTTTTTTTTGTATTCTGTTTGGGGTGTGCACTTATTTGCAATTAGAAAAACCTGTTCTTCCCCACATTTTTGTTACATACTGTGACCCTATTTTATATTTTAGCCCCTGTTCTAGTTTTATTAAAATGTGATTTCAACATGAGTAGTATGAAAGATATTGAATAAAGAAAGAACTTAACAAATTTAACCCTTGGGCATGCGAAAAAACAATAGTTTCAGGAGAAAATAATCACTGTTAATTCTACTACCCTGAGACAGCTTCTGTAGGTATATGTCCTTCCATTTCTTAAATGTACATTTCCCCTGTAATTCCCTGTTCTTTTTTCCCCTTGTATTCCTATAGCTTCTCTAAGCCATTGTATTTTTCTGGTTCAAAACTATGAGCAATCCATGCATAGAAACAATATTATTAAAATGTAAATATATGCTTTGCCTAAAGATATTATATTTCAAAATTGTAATCTATGTGTTCTATGCACTGTTGTCCTTTTAGATTTTGTATTCCAGGAGGATGGTTGCTACTAAGAAAGATTGGTTATGAGGGGACACTTTTGGTTTGGCTGCTAGTATGGTATCATGTACATGAACTGTATGGTAAATATGATTCGATTCGTATGAATTCCTTGTCATCTAAGACTCAACATACTTAGTGAAATAAGGGGCATGGGAAATTTGAAATACTTATGGACTATATCCCACTACTTGAAACTTGCCTCTAGTGTTGATAGTACTACAAAGTCTAGGCCAGTGCCTTCAGATTGTAAATATTAATCTGATAAGCCAGTTTTCTTTATCATTAATGGAATCATCACAAATCAACAGTCATTTTACAAGTAGAAGGGAGATCAATGGAGTAGAGTAAGGGGATTGAGGAGTGAAGAGGAACAGGAAGGGAGGAACTGCAAGATGAAATTGATTAAATTATGCTATGTACATTTATGGATATACCACAGAAAATTCTATCTTTATGTGTATCTGTAAAGTACTGATTTACAAAATGATAATAGAAGGAAGACTGGTAGAACAGAGGTAGGAGAATGGGGAAAAGAGGTGGCAAGGGAAAGAGAAAACATTGAGGACTGAAATGGAGCAAATTATATTCCATCCATGGATGATTATGTCAAAATGAGGCCCACTATTATTTATATCTATAATGCACTAATAAAATTTTTTTAAAAAATTAATTTAAAAAAGGTCTATGGAAGACTCTTTATTTTTTTTTCTAAGAGCTTAAGTCTGGCAGACACTCTGTATAATAATCAGCTATAACTCCCTTGTCATCTGTGGGATCCAATACCAAAACTTGATAAATAAAATCTATAAAATCCTTTTTTTAAAAAAATATTTTTTAGTTGTCAATGGGCCTTTTATATGCAATGCTGATAATCGAACCCAGTAGTCTTTATCATTAATGTGCTTCACACATGCCAGGCAAGTGCTCTACCACTGAGCCACTACTCCAGCCCTAAAATCCCCACCCCCCTTTTTAAAAAGTTCTTTTACAATATAATTCAAAAACAAAGCTCTATGATTTTCACTTCTTCAAACTTCCTGTATTATATGAATAGTTCTAGAAAGTTGCTCACAACTTAAATTTTCACTGTGTCGGTCTTAAGAATTGTTCTGTTTAAGTCTTCTGTTTGCAAGCTAATCTGTTGAGTACTATTTGTCCAATAAAATTATTTATCTTGATAAGTGGCAGCTTCTGCTGAATGCCTTTGTATTATATCTAGTACTGAAATTATCGTGTAGGTATGTTTTATGCATGACTCTACACATTTTGATTTTGAAGTTGGGGTAGATAACTGTTTCAGCAAGGTTGGCAATCCTTGATAATTATTCATTGATATTGAATTCACATAGGGGTTTGTTTTCAGAGACTTGGAAACCCTCAGAGGATTATTTTTCCTTAAAAAATCTTGAAGATTCTAGATGTTAACTCTTCTGCTATGGGTGTCCTATTGAGGAATTTTGAGCCTGATCCCACAGTATGTAGTTCATAGCCAACTTTTTCTTCTATCAGATGCC